ATACTTAAGAAAATTTATTAGATAGGTTCAACTTTTTAAAAACTTTCATATTACCAAACCAAATTAACTTAAATACAGAAATTTTATAAACTAACTAAACAAGTTAGTTTATGGTACTCACTAAACACAAAAATTTTGATGTATATATAAAATTACAGTAGAAATCCTTAGAAGAATAGGATTAGAGCTTCTTAAGTAATGAACTAACTGTGGGTCAGGCTCACTCCTCCAATTACTTAAATGATATTATAGTTCGCTAACGTAATATTATTACACTCCCTTTTCCTATTCCAAATTACATTTGAGACTCCATAATAATTACCCGAATTACCTCCTCATGTTTAAGATATAATGTCCATTAATTAATTCGATTACTGACAATCAAGAATTAATTAATATATTATATTACCAAAGCTAGCGCTCGTTCATTGCATTATTATTATGTCAGAACTTAATCCACCTGCAGGATTTAGCATAACAGTCCTTCATGAACTCACTTCGGGGACATCATCAAACTAACGCACATGGTGACCGTAAATATTCTAACAGCACATCATACACACAACAATATTATCCAAGACAGTAAGATTATTGATCGAGCAAACTGAATCTCACCCAAGTGAATCAAATTAATAAGTACTGCATATATATGTCTGTTTAATATCTTACGGGTTAAGAGAACACAATAATTAACCGAGGCCTAGTTCGTTTACGACGATCAGTATAAAACGAACTTCTCCTCTCTGGAATCCGTTCAATACATAAATGTACTAGTGCAACTAACCGGTGAAGACCAACTGTACCGTTGACACTACAACCATTCTGATGGGGTGTTCATTTCCATCTAGGTTGTGAACCAATAATTCTTGTTTCACAAGTCACTGATAGAATGATCTTCTGTTCACCCGATAATGACCCATTCTATCAAAGTACAAAACAACATAACATAGAACTTGTTTAATCGAACATTATTCTCATTCATAAGGGCAGTGTAATATCACCCAAAGGCAAGCTTTCAGTATATAATACTAACAAGGAAAAATTCAGAGTAAAGGACAATGCAGCTATCTTAAAAATCAAGACTCTGAATCTAGGGTTAAAAGACAGATGAATATGGGCTTTTGAAGCTATGTACTTTCCCATATGTTGCTTCTTATTCTAAGTGTATTTTTTATAAGATAAAATAAGATATTTAGATAGAGCTAAGGCGACTGAATCAGCAAATTTGATAATTTGGTGAGAAAGAGAAATTGGGGGATGTAGATCATTGGGAAAGTCATGCATTTTTTGTGGAAATGCTTCTCAGGGGTACCACCTGCTAACGTGGAGGTGAAGAAGAGAGGGATGGATGTGGATGTGATTTGCACGACTTGTGGGGAAGAGGCTAAATCAATTGAACACATTTTCTTCAGATGCAGGAAAACAAAATTGGTCTATAAATTTGCAATTTTCTGTTGGGAGGTAACGGATTCTGCAAGCAGAGAGGTTCGGGATTAGTGGTGGGATGTTTGCTCTATGGATAGGAAACAGACTTCTGAGGTCATGATACAATTAACAACCTATATTTTATGGTGGGTTTGGAAGTCAAGGAATTTATGGGTGTTTCAAGAGGTCTGGCTGCCAGAAAGAGCAATCATACAGTCAACCTTATCCAAGTGGAGGGAGTTTTTGGCTTCTCATGCTAATTCTGTAGCTGTTTAACTTGTTGTTTTAGAAAGAAGTTAAGGTACTAGGTCCTTTAGGTTCAGTGGTTTCTTAGCTTCTTTTTTTGTAGTCCTGTTTGTTGTCCTGCTTTTGTTTTTTGTATCTTGCGGTCTTGGTTGCTAAGGTATCAAAGCAAATTACCTTTAGTCTTTGTTGGGCAATTTAGTTTGTAGTTGTTATTTTAGGCCACCGAGTTTNTAGACGATTCCCCATTGTATATATTTTATTTTTATTAGAATATAATATCACTTGTGAGTTGTCACACATCGTTTATACATGAAAAATAGATTTAAATTATAAGTCTAATGGGCTACTATTTCTTCAACCAATTGGTTTTAGGATGGAACCTCACTTGGGCTTCATTTGGGCTTTTTCCTGTTATGGTGCGCTTAATCTGCATGAGACCGCACTCGATTTACCCTTGATTCTTACATGGTGAAGCCGGTTCTACGTGGGACTGTGTGATGACGTACCCGTTTCTCAGCCCAGTTGGGCTTGGGCATCTGACTCCATATATGGGCTTGGGGTTCGTATGAAGGACTCCCAAGTGGGGGAACGTATTATAATATAATAACACTTTTGAGTTGTCCCACATCGTTTATACAAGAAAAATAGACCCACTTATAAGTCTAATGGACTACTACTCCTTCAATGAATTGGTTTTGGGATGAAACCTCACTTGAGCTTCATCTCGCTTTCCCTGTTATGGTGCGCTTCATTTGCGTGAGACCGCACTCGATCTACCCTCGATTCTTATAATTTTGTTTAATTTGATGAGTTCTCTAACGTTTTGAAGAAAGAAAAAAAAAAACAAAGACACATTAAAAGTCATCACAAAAGAGAAAAAAAACCTATATTTTATAATATATTTAAGAGAATGTTTGCTGTTTTAAGTTTTTTATAAGAATATTTGTGCATAATTAGATTTTATAGATATAATTAGTTTTTCTTTTGTCATGTTTATTGATTTTTTCACTTCTTGTCTTCATATTATTTATAACAAAATTTTTCTCCACCTCATTTCAAATCCTTAATTCTGATTCCTACAAGAATTAGTTTTCTTTAACGTGTTACCTACATATTTATGCATATAAAATTGGAAGTGGGCATCACTCGTCACAGGATGCGCCAATGAAAAGTGAGAAAATGCACTAAATTTGAAGAACATTTGCATATTCAAAAAGATAAGAAAAAGGGAGAGACAAAGGCAACTGTTAAAAGGCATGTGTCCCTCATCAAAAGAAATTGATAATCCTACTATTCCCTTTCACGAGACTTTAATTTGTTCAAATTACTTGAGTACTTTGCAGTATTATCTTCAAATAATTTAGGCGCACCAACATTTCAGCATGCTCACGGCTCCTCACTCGTATAAGTTAGAAAAATAATAATTTAGTATGATCCTCGATTTATTTATTATTTAAATATTCAATTAAACGATAACTATGTCGATAAATAAAATGTAGTGTTTCGTAACCCAACAGTTGCGGGGATAGCTCAGTTGGGAGAGCGTCAGACTGAAGATCTGAAGGTCGCGTGTTCGATCCACGCTCACCGCATTTTTGACATCATGTTCTTATTTTACCTTTTGTTTTATCTACTTCTTTTACTATTTATTTGACAGATACTACAAATCAGAACATTTAAATACCATTTCTATATTGGGCATTTATTTACGCATTTTCAGCCTTTCTTGCCCAAATATATATTTTTTTTAAATACCCCACGTCAAAGTGAACATCGTGGAAACTACCTTTTCCTTTTCCGAATTTTACCTGCAACAATCAAATCAAATCAAATCAAATCTTGGACACAGAGTTGAGTCCAAAACGAACCAGGACGCAACGCAAGCAAATCCAACGAAGCAAACAAGTGCACCAGAAAAAGCACGATCAAATCCTACACCACTAACAGATTTGACAAAATAACAACAGCATTACAACATTCAGAAACTCCAACATCGTCCANATCCCCCTTCTCCTTCCCACCAGCTGGCGCAACCCTCACTATAGCAGCAGCAGCAGGTGGCTGAGCCACCACCGCAGCCGCCGCCGGGCCCGGAACCCTCTCTATCTCAACGGGCCTCGGCACCTCCGGCGGGCTCGCACACCTGATCAAGGCCCAATTCACACCCTCAAAGAACGGGTGCTGCTTGATCTCAGTCGCTCCCCGTTTATACGCCAGCCTGTTCTGCGGCTCCTTCACCAGCAGCCCTCTGATCAGATCTCTGGCCGCAAAGCTCACCACCGGCGACTCCGGAAAACGCAACGGCTGCCCCACAACATTAAACAGCGTGGCCCTATTGCCCGACCCCTTGAACGGAGTCTTCCCGAACAACAGCTCGTATAGAAAAATCCCGAACGTCCACCAGTCGACCGCGCTTCCGTGGCCCTCGCCTTTGATAATCTCGGGGGCCAAATACTCGTGGGTCCCGACAAACGACATGGACCGGGCCTCTGTGGGCTCGGCTATGAGCTCGGGCAGCGGGCTCACCTGGTTCCCTATCTCGTTCTTGGATGGCTTCCGGTCCTTCTTGGGCCGGCCCGAGAAGAGGCGAGGCCCGAAGCATGTGGTGGGGCCCACGCATGAGGTGGGCTGGATGCAGGCGGGCTGGATGCAGTAGACGGGGTTTTTGCGGGCCGGGTCAGGGTCGAGGGTAGATGAGGACTTGATGAGAGTGGGGCTGACTGTGCAGCGAAGGGAGAGGTCGAAGTCGGAGAGCATGATGTGGCCGTCCTCGCGGACGAGGACGTTTTCAGGCTTGAGGTCGCGGTACACGATGCCGAGCATGTGGAGGTATTCTAAGGCTAGGAGGACCTCGGCTACGTAAAATCTGCATCCAGAATAGAAAAAATTAATCGAAAAAGAATAATAAAATATATTTAGAAAACATTGGGGGAATATATTGTATAGAATGATTTCATATAGGTGTGTAGAAGATTATAAAATGGCAAATAGAGAACAATTTCAGAAAACTAGGCAACAAGTGCATGCATTTTCTCAGTATGCAAATGTGGAAGAGGAATTGAAAATAAGCATTTTGTTGGTCTTTACCATTTTGTATAGCAGCAGGTTAGCCTGAATTGCTGCTGTACAAAGGTAAGGACTAAAGAAAGATTAAGCATATAAGTGACTATTAAGACTAAAAAATCAGAGGATGAATCTCGAGCGATGAAGAAACCTTAAACATTAAATTTGGTTCTAGTTGCGGTAAATTTAATATGATCAAAGATTGGATCTTGACATAACTTGTGTGCAAGGATATTCAATTGATCATGTTAAAGTAAGATTCGCAGTGAAATAAGTTTTTGGGTTGACATATAGTGAATATGAAACCAGAGAAGATTGTACAGTATGTACATTTCATTTTCAACTCACTGCCACTCAAGAGTCCAAAATAGTAATATGCAAGACGGGGAACAAGAGAAAGTACAATTCACACATGCCGAGATTACGTCACCTCAAAAGGAGTTCACATATGCCAAAAAATATGCAGTATGTAAACAAGATTGCTAATAACAAAACATGAAAAATGAGAAAAACCATACATGTTCAAGATGATATGCAGCACCCTAAGCAAATCTCCACAAGTGCACAACAATTACTTCTCGACCTTCTTTCAATATGTATATCATTTCCAAGGAAAAGGATTAAATGTCCATACGTTCGTTAAGGAAATATAAATCTTCTTTTACGCTCAAAGAAGCCAAAATGATCCTCCAACCACTGGCTGGACCAAAGTCCCAAATCACAAATGAAATCAACTCAATCAAAGATAATAAAATATAAAAACATTAAGGAAACAAAAAAAGAGGTAAAAGAAGTAAGTATCATACTTCACGGCCTGTTCCGAAAAATGCTTCCCTGGCTGCCTCTGCCTGAGTGTGTGCAAGTCCCCACCTGGACAGAACTCCATCACCAGACACGAGAACTTCTCTGTCTCGAAATGCGTGTACAAACTCGGCAGGAAAGGATGATCCAAGGACTGCAGTATTTCCCTTTCCGTCTGAGCCCGCAGAAGCTTTTTCCGGCCAGCAAGGGACGCCTTATCCATTACCTTCATCGCAAAATAACACTTTGTGCCGCACAACTCAGAGAGATACACACTCCCGATGTCCCCACACCCCAATTTTTTCAGCAGCCTGAAATGCCTCAGATCTAAAACCCCATCTTTCGATCGGACGGCCTGGATTGCCTCCCATCTCAGGTCATTTGCCTTGTGGGGCTTGTTGACAGCGCTGCTCAAGCTGCTGCACGAGCTCTCGTCACTAATGTCAGTGCTCGTGCTGCCTCTGCAAAGGCTGCTTTTCCCGCTCTCCACGAATTCGAGCCTCTCGCTGATTTTTGCGCTACCGCTCGTCTTTGCAGATGCCGAGCTGTCCTTGAAGTTCTCCACTGCTTTTTTTTCTAGGCCGGTGGTTTGGTCAAAGGTTGACTTTGTTTCCTTTGGGTTAGCCGGTATTAATCTGGGGTCTGGTTTGCCTGCCGAGGAGCTAAGGGATTTCGTTAGTTCGACTGTGGGTTTCTTCGGGGCAGATTTGTTGAGATTTTTGGGTAATTCTTTCGTGGACATCCAAGAATTTCCTTCTACAGCTTGGCCCAAATGAGATTTGTTGTGCTTTTCTAAAGAGCTTTTTGTACGAAGTTCAGAAGCCATTGTGATGAGTACTGGAACTGTGAATCGGGCTGGAAAAAGACCATTACTTGGTGGTCGAATACAAAAAATCTACCCTTTCAGTAGGGAAATCAGCCATCACCATGACAACATCTGTAGATGCATCCACATGGGCAGGTTAGTCTTGAGACGGAGCACTCATGAAAGGAAAACATTTTAAGGAAAATAAAGAGTATCATCAGAGAAGCAGATTTCACAAATCTGTGGGTAAAAATTATATCAATGAGCAAAAAGAAACTCTAGTAGTCCTCACAAATCCCAAATAGATCAGACAGAAAACAAATATAAGCACTGGAGTGAAAAAGTATCATATATAATTGAAAGAAAATTGGCCCTGTTATCCTCAGGAAAACACAGATATATGGGTGTAAGATGCAGATCAACATATTTAACCAAAAGTAAGTAAGAAAGAAGAAAAGCAAGAAAGAAAACTTCTGATTCCCTATGCAAGGAAAAGAAAATCTAGCTTCAAGATTTGATTTTTTTACCTTGAGAAGAAAGAGGAAGCACTAAGGAAATAGATCACCATCAAATTGCAAGAAAAGGAGACTAAATTAACCTATAACACAATGAAGGCATTCAGATACTACTAAAGTCGCACATCACCACATAGCAAAAGATAAGCACAATTTCAGGATAAAAACAATGGAAAAAAGGGGAAAAAAAAAGAAAAAGAAATGGGTCCATGAAAGCACACAGATCTTGAGCAATGACCCACCTCTTTTCTGTAAAAAAGAGAAAAAAAAATACCATTGAACCCCACAGAAACTCTTCATGCCAAAAAATAAAGAAATGGGCAAAAAAGAGAGAAAATCCAGGACATGTGAACACAACCCGTCTAGCACACCACTGGAACAGTTCAAAAGCAAACACCCAAGTACAATCACAATCACAAATCAGAAATGAAAAACAAAAAAGGGACAGCCCATCTGAAATTACAAAGATCGTGTCTTTTGATTTCACATGTTCTATAGCTATGGCAGTTGCAGAAAAAGAAACTAAAATTAAACTACATTAACTCTAGAAAGAGAAAGAAATTAACAATAGAGCACCACCTCCGACTCCTCTTTCTCCTCCCACAAAATGTGCCGAGTGGATTATGCAGAAAAGCGAAAAAAAGAAATGAGGTGTGGGGAGAAGGAAAAAGGACTTTGAGAATGTCGAAAGGCAAGAGAACTGCGTGGGCAAAACTGGCTGTAGACCAATTCAGTTCTAAAAGTGGTATAAATGTATAATAATACTCTTGAATCCTGTGTTTATGTGTGATGAGAGAGAGAAAAGAGAAGAGGGTCAAAAGATAGGTAAAGTTAAAAAAAGTAAAAAACTTTTGTGACATGTTCAATAATTTCAAAAAAAATTGTCCCAAACACTAGAGTCTAAATCAACACATGGGCCTACAAATGCTCCAACCTGTCCCTCATGCTTAGGATTGGGACCCATTTCCCTTCAATTCCCCCCATTAAGGCTATAACTAACTCGGTAATGACCTGTTATGCCCCTCTTGCCACTACTTTTGTGGTCCACCTCCTAAAACTTGAATTTCCTTTGATTGTCCATAATTGAACCGAATTTATGGACGTATGGTCCAAATCTTCCGGACGTATGGTCCAAATCTTCCGGGATAATGAGCTTGTAAAAATAACTCAATCGCTATTCACCGCCCCCTTTTACTAGTCACCGCTCCCCCTATTTACTCTTTTGCACTTAATCTTTTTTTTGATTTCATCTCTCTAAACTTTCTATCTCTCTAAACTTCCGAACTTCAACGAACGATTCGAGCATAAAAAAAAATCCAAAAAAATGTCGAAAAATTTCTACGGTCTCGGCAAAGGATTCTTCTCCAACAAGGTAAATTTTTTTTTTTTTTTTACACGAACTATTTTTTAAAATTTTTTTAAAAATCTGTCGAACCGGCCGGCCATCACTTCCGGCCGGACGGACCCGGTTCTGGACGGACCAAAATCTATCCGGTCGGCCGAACCGGCCGGTTTTTGGTCCGTCTGGAACCGACGGCCGGACGGACCCCGGCCGGTCGCGAGCCGGCCGGACAAAAATCGGATATTTTTTTTTTCATGTTCCCGACTTCCCTAAAATCTCATTCCTTTTCACATTTCATTGACCTAGAGAGTGAATCTCAACCTCGTTGACTTATATACTATATTATTCCTCCTCTATTAGTAGTCGAGGTAGCTTGCTATTCTTCTATCTCTCATTCTCTCCTGTCTTTGAAGACGGGACCTTAGATAGACTTTCTGTCCAGCACTAAAAACTAGCCTACGTTGATCAGTTTTGCCTTCGCGCTATAATTTCTAGCCCTTATATACGGTATTTTGCCTTTTTCTTTCACTTTCATTTCCAAATCCGGCTCGCTCTCGGCTACGTTCTTTCAGAACCTTCGCCCGCTTAGATATGTCTAGGTTCAAGGGGGCTGTCTTCCCTGCTGGCTATGAATGGCGCGGTGACTATCCGGAAGATTTTGAAAAGCTGCCAAGCAATAAAAGAAAGCGAGCATCACAAATATGATGACATGAACGCTGAGTTGGAACAGCATGCCATGCATTCTTGGAAAAGAATGACTACTTTGACAGGACTTTCGCAAGGGTCCTTCATATCTCCTATGTGCCAACGAAAGGAAAAGTCTGACTCCTTTCTACCGAAACAGCCAACGCTTACACGCAAAGGTCCAGAACTCTGTACTTATGAAGCACGACCACCCTGACGTATGATTTGACCTCACTCAAAAGGACTACAACCGCATCGCTCAAACCTTTTGTTGATGGCTTTGGAACTGCTCCTCGAAGGACATGACTGGCACCAGTTCTTCCTCGACTAACATCTATATGGATATATTGATGGAAAGTCTCTCCTGAAAGCGAATGTTTCTTGGGCCGGCATATAGGGAGTTCAAGGAGTTGATCCTCTTAACGTTATGCTCCACATGATAAGGAAAGTATAGCCCAACGGCAAGTGTTTCAACAGGAGCTAGGCGAATCCACGTTTCCAAGTTAATGAGCTAAGCCCCCTAGAGATGTCTCTGCCCTTTGTAAAATAACACCCTGAAAGTCCTAGTTTTCAGTATCTCAGGCAGCTAGACGAGCCCGCGAATGAGGCCTTTAACGAAGCCTAATTCAGTAAGGGAGAGACCGATCCTGCAGCTCATGAGCTACTACCAGATATTGATGGAGTATACCAAGGGGGAAAGGCAGCTGTGTTTTGGTACTGGTAATCATTGGTTCGATTCCTTACCTGTTTTTTTGATTCCTCTAGTGGCAGCAAGCAAGTCCTTTTGAGGAAAGGGCAGGGGAAAGAGAAGATCCTTTTGTCTGGGCTTTAGCGGGCGGAGCAGATGAGCTAAAATCACTCTTACTTACTTAATTTCCCGGGCACTTAGAGATATCTCCCCCAAGGGAAGTGGCCGCCTGAGTAAAGGAAAGCCTGTCTCCTTTGCCGTACTTGCCCTTGCAGTTTCATCAGCTGGATAAGTAGTTTAATCCACTTGTATTTATTGAAAACGAAGATTTGGTTCGTGTTTAGCAGACCTTTTTTATTCCTCTTCTCGGGACTTCCCATCCCCTAATTCAGTAAGGGCTCTACCAACTCTTCCCCTTCTCCCTCTACCTCCAGGAGAAAATAGCGATGTTCCAACCAGAACTATAAATATCTACTTTTGATCGTTGATTTGGAAGATTGGTAAAGTGCACCGCGTCCCTTCTTCTGACTTCCCTCCCGGCGCTTCTTTCGGAATCCCCTCATGCCACTTCCCATCCCGGGAATTAGTCCTACTAGTTCGAGTAAGGGCTGTACCGAACTCCTGGCTTTGAGATCTGCTCGGCGCAAAATCCCGTAAGCATATAAGCCCCCTTAGAAGTGGCAAGGATGACATCAGCCACAAGGGCCTCCTCGAATGCGTTATTCAAGGGGCTATGCTTAACACTTTAGCGAAAAAAAGAAGACATCTTATCTGGAGCTGGGGGTAAGGAAGAGCAGGGGCATAGCTAAGTGAAGTGTAAGGTCCTGGCTTTCATAGCCAAGAGTAGCCAAAAGTGTATCTCCTACGCCCCTGCCAACACCAACTCCTTATCTTATGCAAGAGCAGCCGACTTTTAGCTCGTAAAGTAAAACTGAGGGGTCCTTTATTTCAGAGCCGAAAGGAAAAGGCGCAAAAAAAGTATCCCCTATTTCGCCAACCCTGTTTGTACAAGGAGGCGGGTCTTCAATCCTGGATGGACTCAGTTCTATAGAGCTCACGTGTGATATGACCTAAATTTCCGAGGAGCCTTATTAGTATTTGATGACGGCTTATAGTGGCCACTAAGATCTAAGGGCTTCCCCCTCGGCTTCTGAAGTGCTTCATTCTTCTTCATATATTCCAATACTAATCCCTCTTGTCTGACCCGAGGTACGAGCCAGATACCTTATTAGCTACGCCTATCCCCGATCTTACACCTTAGCTCCTGTCGAATGATCTGCTTACGGGTTGTACTTTCCTCACATATATCGCATTCCTAACAAGGTTTTCACTCAGAACTCGTACCTATCCCAGATGCCTGTGTTCATCCATTACTTATGCTGCTAGCGATCCTCTGCACTGAAAGCAAGAAAGCGAGGCCCCGTAGGGAGACTAGTTCCCAATCTCAGGAGCAAAGAGGACTCAAACTCCCNTTTGTTTGAACAGTATACCACAATTGCAACCTAGACAGGTACTGATGCTCCCAACCCACAACCGATTGATCTCGGTAACGGAACCACATGTTATGAATAGGCGGTAATGGACAATCATCAGTCAAATCTAAACGAATGTAGTGTTCTACGGTACCAAGATGGCAAATGGCAATCTCACGGCATGGTCCTCTAGCCGATGATCGTGCAGTGAGAGGCAACACTGTGGTGCTGAATAAGTCGTGCTGCCCACCGTTTGCACCAGAGCTCAAATGAACGACAACCACATTAAATAGGGTCGCAACGGCATAGAGGTCCTGCGGAACTTCGAACCAGTGAGTCGGTCCACAAGAGCCTCTGGCCCACCTTATGCGACGGAGTCCGGCCTCGATATCTCTAAAATAGATGTACTCGTACAATTCAGGGTGGTTGTCGACCTCCTTCGCAATGTTATCTCTTGCATCTGGCCAGTACTTCTGATGACCATACATGTGACTCGCGATGACCCGAAATCCGCAGTTACCATCCGCTTCCACATTCAGGTAACTCACTATGTAGTCCAACATATGCCAGGGGATACATTGCCAATATGAAAATTCAAAAATATTTGTCGGTCTAAACTCTGCAATAAATATCATAATAATTTCACGTCACAATTTATATAATCATATAAATACTTTAATTAACGCTCAGCCGTATTTAAAAAAAAAAAATGTATGACCTTCATCCCCTTGTGACTGTTGAGAAGACGAACTTGTCTTTCCACGCGAAGAATTGGTCGTACGGCTCGATTTCCGACCTCGCGATTTTTCGTTGTACTCAAAAGCAGATGGTTTACGCTTAGTTGAATTAATTTTCTTGGGACCACCTCGCGGGTTATCCTTAACCTCAGGTTCCGCATAATCCTGTTGGTCTGGGTAAAGATGACTGTACATGAACTTATTCACGTACCGCATCGTCGCGGGATCGCGGGTTTCAACCTCGGTCACAAGCGTATGAAAGAACGTCGCATCTGACCATGCAGCGTTGCTCGTCTGGCTCGGATGACCAGTCCCTACAAGTATACGATAAAAAAGTCATTGACTAAAAACAAATAATGTATTTTAATAGAAAATTATAAATAAAACATTAATCTTAAATTACCTGGCTCTAAGCTCTCGAGCGTTCTCCAGAACTGGTGAATCATTCCGAGATCAATCGGAGTGTCGAAATCTTTTGCGTTACGGAGGAGACAGGCACAAGGAAGTCCATGAGTGAGCTGCAATACACAACCGCAGCTAGTGTAAACATCGGTGTCCAACTTGTGCATCCTCGTAAGCTCAGCGTCCAATAAACTCAGACAGTAATGCGAGACCCTCAGTATCACGCTCGCGAAACGGATTCCCTTATACCGTGTATTCTTCTTAGATCTCGAGGCCTCAAGCGCCGTCCTGATAATACGTTACATAACGTTAGATTATAATTAATTAATGCAGTAATATAATAACGCATTTAAAAATTGCAGTACGTACTTGATTTCAGTCACTTGATTATCGATATGCTTATTAATCTTCTGCCAAACCGTATCGAGCGCGCCGGTGGACGTCTGAAGCCACTCCTTCAACGCAGAGTGGGCACTCTCCACCCTACAGGAAGTTGTGTTTCCAAAATATGTCACTCGGTTGGTCCAAGCCTTCACAAACTTCTCGCGGTGCACTAACCATGTGCCCTCCACATACCGTATCACCTCTGCATTGTTC